AAGTCCTCCTGTTCTTCTTTTTGCGGATACAGACTAACACGGCTGCTACTCTGAAACCTTTCATGATCTTTAATGTATTTATCTTGACAATACCTCTGTGTGATAGGAACCAGCTTCCCTATTTTACAAATGGGGACCTAAGGTACAGAGAGGCTAAGTGACTTCCCAGTGTCATACAGGAAGACTTGGGTGCTGCAAGGAATTTAACGCTGTTTTTTTTTTTTTAGTCCCATCTTAGTGTCCTAACCACTGGACAATCCTTCCTGTCTTAGAAATCTTGTTCCTTGACTGTGAGCCACAGCTTTGGACTGGTCTGTCAGTGAAAATTTGGCACGAGTCTGCTTTTCAGAATACAAAGGATGGGGACCAGAAAAAGCTAGAAATTTCCCTTTATCATTAAGATGCTTCCATTTCTAGGACATATCAGATCTTAAACCTCTTGCTGCTCCAGGAACGAGTAGTGCTTTTGCTGCGCTTCAGCCCAGAATAACTTGTGGGGGAGGATAGATGGGAAAAACCTTTAATTGAAGTCAGTTGCAATGGATTAATGGGCAGGATGCAGGTGAGGTACAGTAGTCAAAAGTGCATAATATATGCAATTTATCACATGGCTCTGTGTATGGATATCACCACAACATATCTGAGGGGGCAGAGAGGGGAGGTGCGCATGTACACATGTGAGGGTATGTATTCTTTATATATAATATGTGTGTGGTGTATATGTATAATACGATCCAGGAAATAAGTGTAATTCATTCCCAAAGAAAAATAGAGTAAAATTATCTTCCAGGCTAGGGATCTGTGTGACTTGTAGCAGTTGAATATGAATGTGAACCTATTACCTGCATGCTGTAATTCATATTCACTGAAACCAGAAATAATGCAATTCCTCTGATTGAGGAGAACCCATGTGCAGTACAAATTCAAAATCTTCCATTGTTTGTGAAATAGCAACTAGATAAATGGTGGCTAGCATAGATTTGAGGAAACATTAGCCTGGTTGCCTTTCAGACTAGGGGGGAAAGTTCTTATCTGAATTTTCATATAACATTCAGCATACATGTTTCCCTCCCAAAACACTGTTCAGATTAAATGACACCTTTATCCTCCACCCATTCTGCACCAGGGTTAGAAGAATCATACTTTCATTTGTATCTTCTTGTTGCAATGCATCATGTTAACGGAGAACTATGAATTCATTCATTGACAGATTAATAGTGTGTATGCTAATGTATATTTTTACATCTTTTAAATGCCTTGTTCATAGCTCTTTAAGTCACTCAGTCTAAGGGCTGGTCTACACTGGGGGGCGCGGGGTCGATCTAAGATACGCAACTTCAGTTACGCGAATAGCATAGCTGAAGTCGAAGTATCTAAGATTGAATTACCTGGGGTCCACACAGAGTGGGATCGACAGCCGCGGCTCCCCCGTCAACTGCGCTACCGCCGCTCGCTCTGGTGGAGTTCCGAAGTCGACGGTGAACGCGTTTGGGGATCGATATATCGCGTCTTAACGAGACACGATATATCGATCCCAGATAAATCGATTGCTACCCGCCGATATGGTGGGTAGTGAAGACGTACCCTAAGTAACGTTTAGTTCAGCCTGTAATATGAGGTATAAAAGCAACACAGAGCAGACAGCATTAATTATTGGAAGTAGCATAATGGCTGACCTGATAAAAGATTAATTGGTACTTTACAGTATTTATTTATGGACATTAGAGCTGTCAGGTTATCTAACTACACTTGAAAGGCTTGGGACAATAGCTGTACTGATGGTAATGATGTCAATTTCCCTGTTGTTGTTTTTTTTGCAGGTCACTGCCAGAGGATTTGGTCCATTGTTACAGTTTGCCTACACTGCTAAGCTGTTACTCAGCAGAGAAAACATCCAGGAGGTCATCCACTGTGCTGAATTCCTGCGCATGCACAACCTGGAGGACTCCTGCTTCAGCTTCCTTCAGACTCAGCTGCTGAACAATGAAGATGGCCTGTTCCTGTGCAAAAAGGATACCACCTGTCAGAGAATGCACGATGAAGAGAACTCTGATGGAGAAGAGGAGGAAACTATGGAATCAGAGACTTCAAAGATATCCTGCCCAAGGGAAAGAATGCATCAGGAACCCTTTAACTTTGAATCCACTAGTTCTGGAGCAGACAAGGAAGAAGGGATGCTGCCTGACTCTGACATGCTGAGAGATAGCAAGGACAGTTTGGACAAAGACTCAGTAACACGGTACCCAAGATATAAGAAATACCAGCTTGCTTGTACCAAGAATGTCTACAACACATCACACATCAGTACCTCAAGTTTTGCAAGCACATTCAGTGAAGAGAGTTCTGGAAATGGCCTCAAATCAGGACTTGCTGTGGGGCAGATAAAAAGCGAGCCTCAGAATGAGGAAAACGATGAAGAAAGCATCACGCTTTGCCTGTCTGGAGATGAACCTGACATCAGGGATAAAGAAGGGGATGTTGAAATGGACAGGAAACAGCCAAGTCCCACTTGTGTTGACGGGTCTAAAAGTGTGTCCTCTCCTTCCTGCTTAAGGTCTTTCTTCAACAGAACAAAAAGCGTAGATTTGGTTGGCTTCCCCAGTACTTCCCAACAGCACTTTGCCAGGGGTCCAGCATGCCCTTTTGACAAAGGGACAACTCAGGGTGACCAGAAAACTGACTACAGCCCTTTCACAGGGAATTATGGACAGTCCCATGCCATTCAGAAGGATACTTCCAACTTCACAATGGGATCGCCACTCAGAGGGCCTGGTTTTGAAGCACTCTGTAAACAGGAAGGTGAACTGGACAGGAGGAGTGTTATATTCTCTTCAAATGCTTGTGACCAAGTAAACACTTCAGTGCATTCATATTCTGGTGTGAGCAACTTGGACAAAGACCTCACTGAGACTGTGCCAAAGGGTCTGTGGGCTGGAGGCAGCCAATCCCTTCCTAGTTCACAGACCTATTCCCACAGTGGACTGACAGCTGATCACTTGCCAGGAAGGATGCGGCCTAACACCAGCTGCCCGGTGCCAATTAAAGTTTGCCCTCGCTCTCCTCCTTTGGAAACCAGAACCAGGACCTCTAGCTCATGTTCCTCCTACTCATATGCAGAGGATGGCAGTGTTGGTTCTCCCTGTAGCCTCCCTCTGTGTGAGTTTTCATCTTCCCCCTGTTCCCAAGGAGCTCGATTCCTGGCCCCTGAACATCAGGAGCCAGGCATGATGGGAGATGGAATGTACAACCAAGTCAGACCCCAGATTAAATGTGAGCCATCCTATGGAACAAACTCCAGTGATGAGTCTGGGTCGTTCTCAGAAGCAGACAGTGAATCATGTCCTGTGCAAGACAGAGGACATGAGGTAGGGAATTAAGATAAGTACACATATAACAGTCATTGTGACCCATTGAATCAGTCCTTTATTCTCTTAAATAACTTTTGGCATTTGCCCAGCACTTTCTAATTTACAGAGGCAAACGGTAATATGTATTCATCTCCTCGTCAGCTGAATCTGCATGGTTAACAGAGGAGAGGTCATGAATAGCTGTGTTGAGTTCCTAGAGACTTGGCACTTACTGAAATTTTAATATTAAACAAGCAGCAGCAAACAGCTGAATTATGAGAGTAAATGTATGTTCATAGAAATGCTGCCACCTCTCTTTTTCCTTCTTGCACCTAGCCAAAAATATATCTATTGTAAGGAATTAAAGTATATTTTCACTCTTAAACTGTACTGTTTCCTCCAGCTTGGTTTATAGAGTGTAATATTATGGTAGCACTTACAGGGCCCAAGATTATGGCCTTGTAGAGGTAGGCACGGCAGTGTATAAACAGAGTCCCTGCTCCAAATCACTTGCAATCTGTATGAGACAGACAAAGGGTGGGAGGGGAAACAACTAACCTAAAATCACACAGCTGGTCAGTGACAGAGCTAGGAACAGAACCCAGGTTCGCTTCCTCCCAGTCTCATGGCCTATCCTCTAAACCAGTGGTGGGCAACCTGTGGCTCGAGGGCAGCATGCAGCCCATCAGGGTAATCTAATTGCGGGCTGCGAGACATTTTGCTAACATTGACCCGTCCGCAGGCACGGCCCTCCGCAGCTCCCAGTGGTCACAATTTGTTGCTCCCGGCCAATGGAGCTGTGGGAAGCAGCGGGCCGCAGCGATGTGCTGGCCACCTCTTCCCGCAGCTCCCATTGGTCGGGAATGGTGAACCGCAGCCACTGGGAGTTGCAGGGGGCAGTGCCTGCAGATGGTCAACGTCAGCAAAACGTCTCATGCCCCGCAGGCCACAGTTGCCCACCACTGCTCTAAACTGTGCAGCCTCCCTATGTGTTGTCTTTATTTGTAACCAGTGAGCTTTGCCTCTCATCAAATTGATTATTTGGATTGTACTTCCTGCCTAGGACCACACTTTCCTCGTTACTGAAGAACTCTAGCAGACAGTTGCATAAAACATCGAGGATTGTTATCCGTGAATTTTCAGAAGTGATAGAGAGAAGCAGGGAAAGTGTATGGGACCAAGAAACAAGCTGTGAATTTCCATGCAGCACTGACAAATGTTCTTCCATCAGTGAGAAGAAATAGGGTAATTTACAAAGGCAAAAAGGCCAGGTATAAATGCTGTGGTGGCTGTTAACTAACTAGGAGTGTGAGTATTTCAGTGTAAATTTATAAGCTTGGGAGAATGAAGGTACAGTGCATAGCTTGAGAGCTGAAAAGAGAATGGGTGTTTTTACAGAATTCCATTAGGGAATTGAGGCGAGTGTACTGGAGTAATTTCTATATGGAACAGCATATCTGCTGTCCTGGGTCAGAACAATAAAACATTGTCTTGAGACTTGCTGCTCTAGCATGGAAAGCAGGTAAGTTCATTGCCTGGGTTAGCATATGTTGTGAGAGCCTAGGATAGAACTGACTGGACTCAGACCCACGGGGGTGAAAAGAGAAAGAGAGGGACACAAAAAAACCCGTTATTTTATGCCCCACTTGTAGAAAGTCGTTTAATTTTTCAAAACTTCTACCAATTGCTGCTATGTATTGTTATTCCTGCCTTCTTCCTGAGGTGTGGTTCATAGAATCATAGAAGATTAGGGTTGGAAGAGACCTCAGGAGGTCATCTAGTCCAATCCCCTGCTCAAAGCAGGATCAACCCGAACTAAATCATCCCAGCCAAGGCTTTGTCAAGCCGGACCTTAAAAACCTCGAAGGATGGAGATTCCACCACCTCCCTAGGTAACCCATTCCAGTGCTTCACCACCTTCCTAGTGAAATAGTGTTTCCTAATATCCAACCTAGACCTCCCTGACTGCAACTTGAGACCATTGCTCCTTGTTCTGTCACCTGCTACCACTGAGAACAGCCGAGCTCCATCCTCTTTGGAATCCCCCTTCAGGTAATTGAAGGCAGCTATCAAATCCCCCCTCACTCTTTTCTTCTGCAGACTAAACAAGCCCAGTTCCCTCAGCCTCTCCTCATAAGTCATGTGCTCCAGCCCCCTGATCATTTTCATTGCCCTCCGCTGAACTCTCTCCAATGTGTCCACATCCTTTCTGTAGTGGGGGGCCCAAAACAGGACACAGTACTCCAGATGTGGCCTCACCAGTGCCAAATAGAGGGGAATAATCATTTCCCTCGATCTGCTGGCAATGCTCCTACTAATGCAGCCCAATATGCCGTTAGCCTTCTTGCTTACAAGGGCGCACTGTTGATTCATATCCAGCTTCTTGTCCACTGTAATCCCCAGGTCCTTTTCTGCACAACTGCCGCTTAGCCAGTCCGTCCCCAGCCTGTAGCAGTGCATGGGATTCTTCCATCCTTAAGTGCAGGACTCTGCACTTGTCCTTGTTGAACCTCATCAGATTTCTTTTGGCCCATTCCTCCAATTTGTCTAGGTTACTCTTGACCCTATCCCCACCGTCCAGTGTATCTACCTCTACGCCCAGCTTAGTGTCATCCACAAACTTGCTGAGGGTGCAATCTGCCCCATCATCCAAATCATTAATGAAGATGTTGAACATAACTGGTCCCAGGACCAACCCCCGAGGCACTCTGCTTGATACCAGCTGCCAACTAGACATTGAGCCATTGATCACTACCCGTTGAGCCCAACGATCTAGTCAGCTTTCTATCCACCTTATAGTCCATTCATCCAATCCATAGTTCTCTAACTTGCTGGCAAGAATACTATGGGAGACTGTATCCAAAGTCTTTGCTAAAGTCAAGGTATATCACGTCCACCGCTTTTCCCATATCCACAGAGCCAGTTATCTCTTCATAGAAGGCAATCACGTTGGTCAGGCATGACTTGCCCTTGGTGAATCCATGTTGACTGTTCCTGATCACCTTCCTCTCCTCTAAGTGCTTCAAAATGGATTCCTTAAGGACCTGCCCCATGATTTTCCCAGGGACTGAAGTGAGACTGACCGGTCTATAGTTCCTGGATTTTCCTTCTTCCGCTTTTTTAAAGATGGGCACTATATTTGCCTTTTTACGATCATCCGGGACCTCCCCCCGATCACCACAAGTTTTTCAAAAATAATGGCCAATGCAATCACATCAGCCAACTCCCTCATCACCCTCAGATGCATTAGATCCAGCCCCATGGATATGTGCATGTCCAGCTTTTCTAAATAGTCCTTAACCTGTTCTTTCAGCACTGAGGGCTGCTCACCTCCTCCCTATACTGTGCTGCCCAGTGCAGCAGTCTGGGAGCTGACCTTGTCTGTGAAGACCGAGGCAAAAAAAGTATTGAGTACTTCAGCTTTTTCTACATCATCTGTCACTGGGTTGCCTCCCCCATTCGGTAAGGGTCCCACACTTTCCCTGACCTTTTTCTTGTTGCTAACATACCTGTAGAAACCCTTCTTGTTACCCTTCACATCCCTTGCTAGCTGCAACTCTAATTGTGCTTTGGCCTGCCTGATTTCACTCCTGCATACTCAAACAATATTTTTTATATTCCTCCCTAGTCATCTGTCCAAGTTTCCACTTCTTGTAAACTTCTTTTTTGTGTTTAAGCCCACCAAAGATATCTCTGTTAAGCCAGCTGGGTTGCCTGCCATATTTACTATTCTTTCTGCACATCGGGATGGTTTGTTCCTGCGCCCTCAATAAAGCTTCTTTAAAATACAGCCAGCTCTCCTGGACTCCTTTTCCCCTCATAGTAACCTCCCAGGGGATCCTGCCCATCCGTTCTCTGAGGGAGTCAAAGTCTGCTTTTCTGAGGTCCAGGGTCCGTATTCTGCTGCTCTACTTTTTTTCCTTTTGTCAGGATCCTCATCTCGACCATCTCATGGTCACTGCTGCCCAGGTTGCCACCCACTTCTACTTCCTCTATCAATTCTTCCCTGTTTGTGAGCAACAGGTCAAGGTGAACATGGCCTCCAGCACTTGCACCAGGAAGTTGTCCCCAACACTCTCCAAAAACTTCCTGGATTGTCTCTGCACTGTTGTATTGCTCTCCTAGCTGATGTCCGAGTGATTGAAATCCCTGATGAGAACCAGGGCCTGTGATCTAGAAACTTCTGTTAGTTGTCCAAATAAAGCCTTGTCTACCTCATCCTCCTGGTCTGGTGGTCTATAGTAGATGCCCACCACGACATCACCCTTGTTGCTCTCACCTCTAAACTTAACCCAAAGACTCTCAACCGGCTTTTCTCCAGTTCCATACTGGAGTTCTGAGCAATCATACTGCTCTCTTACATACAGTGCAACTCCTCCACCTTTTCTCCCCCGCCTGTCCTTCCTGAACACTTTATACCCATCCATGACAGTGCTCCAGTCATGTGAGTTACCCCACCAAGTCTCTGTTGTTCCAATCACAGATAGTTCCTTGACTGTGCCAGGACTTCCAATTTTTCCTGCTTGTTTCCCAGGTTTCTTGCGTTCATATACAGGCATCTAAGATAACTAGCCGATTGCCCTACTTTCTCAATATGAATCAGGAGGCCTCCCCTGTTGCACCATCCTCCTTGTGTTTCCTCCCCGTATCCCACTTCCCCACTTACCTCAGGGCTTAGGTCTCCATTCCCTGACGAACCTAGTTTAAAGCCCTCCTCACTAGGTTAGCAAGCCTACCTGTGAAGATGCTCTTCCCTCTCTTTATTAGGTGGGTCCCATCTCTTCCTAGCATCCTTCCTGGAACAACATCCCATGGTCAAAGAATCCAAAACCCTCTCTCCGACACCACCTGCGCAACCAAGCATTTACTTCCATAATTGGATGGTCCCTACCTGGGCCTTTTCCTTCAACAGGGAGGATGGACGAGAACACGACTTGCGCCTCAAACTCCTTCATCCTTCTTCCCAGATCCGCGTATTCTGCAGTAACACGCTCAAGGCAGTATCATTGGTGTCCATG